GCCACTTTGCCTTGTGTATGTGGACTATGAGAAAGCCTTTGATTCCGTAGAAATTTGGGCGGTGCTGCAGTCCCTTCAGCGGTGCCAAGTTGACTGTCGGTATATCGAGGTGCTGAAGTGTTTGTACAATAGAGCTACGATGGCTATCCGATTACATAAACAGAGTACGAAACCTATGCAACTTCAGAGAGGTGTAAGACAGGGTGACGTTATATCCCCGCAACTCTTCACCGCTGCATTGGAAGAAGTTTTCAAGCTGCAGGACCGGAAAGGATGCGGTATTAACATCAATGACGAGTACATCACTCACCTTCGATTTGCCGACGATATAGTCATTATGGCAGAGTCGCTGGTTTCCTAAGTACTATGCTCAATGACCTCAATAGTGTCTCCCAACGGATAGGTCTTAAGATGAACACGGACAAAACAAAAATCATGTTTAACGTCCATGTCACACCTATGCCGGTAGTTGTTGGGAGCACTAAGCTCGAAGTTGTTGACGAGAATGTTTACCTGGGACATATAGTCCAATTAGGTAAGTCCAACTTCGACCGAGAGGTCAATCGACGAATTCAACTCGGCTGGGCAGCGTTCAGGAAACTACGACACATCTTCTCGTTAAACATACCTCAAAATCTTAAAACGAAATTGTACAACCAGTGTGTGTTGCCAGTAATGACTTACGGATCTGAGACGTGGTTCTTCACTGCTGGCCGTATGAGGAAGCTCAAGGTCGCTCAGCGAGCTATGGAGAGGGCTATGCTCGGGGTTTCTCTGCGTGATAAACTTAGAAATGAGGATATCCGCAGTAGAACCAGATTAACCGACATAGCCGAACGGATTAGTAAGCTGAAGTGGCAGTGGGCCGGCCATATAGCTCGAAGAACCGACAACCGATAGGGAAGAAAGGTTCTCGAGTGGCAGCCTTGTACCGGTAGGCGAAGTGTAGGGCGACCCCCCACGAGATAGAGTGACGACTCGACACCGTGTCGATGGGTGCAGGTGGCTCAGGACCGTGCTTTGTGGCATTCCTTGGGGGAGGCCTATGTTCAGCAGTGGACTTATGAGAGGCTGTAATGATGATGATGATGATGATTATCGTCGTATAATAAAAGTAGCACTACGAACAACCTTAGTGTTACTTTTGCTGTACTCGCTGTGAACAGCATCGTCAATGTCTTTGATTGCTATTTTTTTCTTAATATAAGTAGTTACAGTATACAACTTTGTGTCTTTCCATCTGCTCTCCTCCAAGTTTTGGTTTTATAGCGCGGCAAAGCCTAAGTTGACTATATTACCCTCATGTACCTTATTTTAAAAGCCTTATAGTGTAATTTTGAGATAAATGTTATTCATTCAGCAATTTAGAACCTCTGATATACGTACATAGTATTATCTCAAAAAAAATTACGGTAATTACGTTTAACATTTAACACACACCTGTTTTAAATGTGGTACCTATATAATACGTGTAGTATATAATAGATAAAGTACATAGTAGAATTCTTCATTATACATATATAGTAGATGAAGAATAATTTCAAACTGACCCAGTCATAGAGTAGCATTATGTGATGACATTATTTTACGTAAAAGAAATCATAGTTAACAGAGTATTAAGTAAAAGATAACACTATATTTAATAATAATAATAATAAATTTATTTATTTACCAGAAACACTTAGCCAAAATACAGAAAAGTTCTGTGACTCCCACACTAGGCATGGCCTGTCTCGTGGGGGTCAAACAAAAGATTTTACAATAGAACAAAGTGGCTATTTGTCGAAATTACGTAAAACAATTATGCGTAGCAAAGCAAAAAAAAATACGATTTAAAATTATGAAAAATTACAGACATAACAAGCATATTCTAATTTAAAGGAGCGCGCGTGTATTGAGGGTGAGTGTGTGTCGGCAGTTTCGAAGCTTCCCTATGCATAAATGTAAACACCCTCAGAATATACAATTTACGGACACTTAAAACTTGGGTTTCTGTAAAGAGATCTGACGTATGATAACGCCTTGGTTTACCCATAGCTATCTTCAAAACTGCCCTCTGGGCCGTTTCCAGCACTAGCAACGTAGAGGAGGCTATGCCACCCCACGCCAGTATGCAATAGCTAAGTACGGACTGACATAGTGCAAGGTAGACTGACTTTAAAATGGTGCCATCAGTAGAATCTCTCAATAGTCTCATTGTGTGGATCAGCTTACGGATCCTTGCTGATGTCACTGATATATGACTTTTGAAGTTGAGGTTCTCATCTATTATGATGCCCAAATATTTAATGGAGCTGACCCTATTAATCTGGTCACAGCTACAATTAGGAGAGCTCACGGAGCCAAAACTACAGTTGTTATTATGTACTTTAAGGCTATTGAAAAGTGACGGCGACGGTTCAGACGCTGCAGTTTAATTAAAACAAATTAACTGCGTTTTTGAGGTGTTCAATGTTAAGATGTTGTAATTTAACCATTTTTGTAATTTATGCAACCCGGAGACAGCCGAAAGGTAGGCGTCGTGCCATGATTTATCATAAAATATTATGGCTGTATCGTCAGCATAACATACAACTTCACTATTTTCGAGTTCAATTGATATAATGTCATTAATGTATGAAATAAAAAGAGTCGGCCCCAAAATGCTACCCTGAGGAACGCCAAAATCTACAGATCTAAGATAGCTTGCTTGATCGCCTATTCGGACACATTGCTTTCTATCCGACAAATAGCTGGAAAACCAGTTTAAAGCCAGACCACGAATACCAAGAGCACTTAGTTTCTTAAGTAGGATGGAAATCGATACCGTGTCAAATGCTTTAGCCAGATCGAGAAAAACACCGACACAGGATCGACCCTGATCGAGATGAGTTACAACCATATCTGTGATAAGACTAACTGCATCCTCAGTCGATTTTCCCTGACGGAAACCAAACTGACGGTCCGAGAGTATACTATTCTTTTCAAGATAGTTAGTCAGCCGCTTATGAACAACGCGTTCCAGGAGCTTAGAGTAACTACCCAGCAGTGATATGGGACGATAATTACAAGGGTCGTCCTTAGCTCCATTCTTGTGTATGGGAACAACTGCCGCTACTTTCCACTGGCTTGGAAAGACTCCTGACGAGATACTTAAGTTAAATATCGCAGCCAAGGGCTCCGCAATTGCGTGGGCTACTGATTTTAAAAGTTTGTTAGTAATGCCGTCCATACCCGGGGCACTACCTGAATCAAGAGACCAGACGAGACTCAAAACTTCCTGTTCGTCTGTAGGATCCATGAAAAATGAACCAACGGGTTGAACAGGAATGTGAACTTTTTCGGCAAGGGACTCCTGAATCTCATTTAATTTCCTCATAATAGAGTATGCTAGCTTATTACCTACAGAGGCAAAGTAAGAGTTGCAAACATCAAGAGATTCCTTTACAGAGGGTCTTGAGTTGATGAGAGCCAGAGGAGAACTTGAACTAGTGTCTTTGCCAGTTATGCGGTTAATAGTACCCCAGAGTTTTTTTTGGAGCCCATTTATTTTTATTTATTTCTTTATTGTTGTAATCACATTTTAGTTTTCTGATTAGACCTATGTAAAAATTTCTATAACGCGTATATACAAGTTTTTTTAGTAAGGTTGTTTGGGTCCTTACGATATTCAAAATGAAGCTTGTCACGGTGCTTAGAGCATCTGATTAGACCAGGAGTCATTCAAGGGTGTAAGATGGTTCTAGAGCGGCTTATTACACAAGTTTTCGAGTATCTCAATATTGTCTCTGATACCGTCTTAGTGAAATGACTCACTGACTCGTCAAGAGAGCTACAGTTCATTACTGGGGACCAGTTCGTTCCCTCCAGCTCTGATCTTATTGAGTCTATGTCAACTATAACTCTTGATCGAATAGATTTTGGTCTTTTTGGTTTTTGTGTCTTTAACATTATACCTGCCATAGTGATATCATGGTCAGTAACATCATTGAGATACACTACGGACTCCGCATTAGATCTTACGGGTACAAAAATGTGATCTATGCAGGTTTTGACCCGAGTTGGTTTGTTTATGGCGGGGGAAAGTCCATACTCTGCTAATACATCTAAGTACTCTGTGTGCAAATTTTTGTCACCTGCTGACCCAATAATATTTATATTTATGTCTCCAGCGAAAATAAGACAAGGAGAGGGACTTACCGTTTTTAAGTTAGCGTCTAGAGAGCGAATAAATGTTTCTGGGTTAGTGTAACCAGGTGACCTGTAAGCGGCAACTACTGAGAAATATTTTGCAACTTCTGCGTGAATACAATTACCCTCATCAACGTTCAGCTCGGAAAAATTGGCTGTCCACCTATCTTTTATATAGCTAGCGACTCCTCCTGCCCTATTAATACACTTCCTAGAGTGAAAAGATGTAAAGCCTTGCAACAGAGGAACCGTACGCATACTCATCAAGCCAGCACTCGCTGAGGACAATAACGTCAAAATCAAGATCTACTCTTTTTAGGGTTACTAGAAGGGTATCAAAGTTTTTACACATGCTTCTTATGTTCATGCTTAAAATCCTAAATGAAAAACTAGACAGAACGTCTTTACACTCCTCTGGGACGGTTATGTTATGGCACTTTATCTCAGATGAATTATCTATGGCATTTATCGCATACATTCTATTTATTTGTCCCTTCGAAACTAAAAACGAAGGCGTAACTCAAAATTACGCTAGTAATATATAATTCAGTGCTCGAAATGATACAAACTCTTTTGTCTTTAGCTTACAACCCAGTCGATAATGCGACGGCAATACTAGTTCATTCAATTACCGATCGTAACATTCAATAAAGCTTTTTGTCATTATATATTAGCAAGTAGGTACTTGAGATATAAATAAGTCTTGTCAGTCGATAGGGAAAAATGTCTTCTTTCAGAATCAGATATTAACTAAAATATGCAAAATTTTGAGTTGATATAGTGTCACTTGTTAGGCGCGATATGTTAACTGCGTCGAAAATTATGCTTACCTGCCATAATACCTTGGGACAAGCACAAGATGCTCAGGACCCACAAGACCAGTACGTTTCTTTTACACATAGGAACGCTCTCGCAGAGGATTGTCATAGCTAATGAATATTGACCAGCAGAACTGAAAGAAAAGAACAGACACGTGAAGTGACACATTAAAGCGCACCTACCGAACCAAACTATATAGACTTCGTTCGTGGGGAATTAGTATCATTAAAGTATAATGTACATACTTCTTTGCTACTTAAGTACGTACATATCACAGAAAGTTATTATTATTTACCGAAATGTTCTTATAAAATATCTGAATGTTCTGTATGGATCACTAGTCTCCGTTAAGACTGGTCGTCATGAACGAAATTCGGCCTAAAAGTCATATTTGATGGGTATGTTTCGCAAACTCTCGCCGTGGGGCTTGGGACCGTGCTTTGTGGCATTGCTTGGGGGAGGGCTATGCAGCAGTGGACTTGTGCAGGGCGATAACGAAGATAATGTATGCAGTAAAAAAATAAAAGTTTTAATATACTCTCAAAATACTTAACATCTATACAGGGTTCTTTGATTGGATTGAACAATGCAAATAGGGATATAGAGAAGCCATTCAATGAATTTCACAAACATTCATTCACACGCACGCACGCACACGCACACCAGTCCAGTCCGAAATAGTTGGAACTTGGAACAGCTTCCTAGGACCTCAAAACGAGATCTGATGAAAACTCGCATTATCAAAATCGGACTGAAGTCTGTAACTTCCTACTTTTGAAAATTATTAATTTTCAGAGCGGGAAGTTAAAAATGGCAAGGATCAATCAATTTCAAAAATATAAAATGCCAATGTTAACATTACTTTGTGGCGACTTTGACATCTTGGTTTTCAATAAAAATAATAGGATTTGACTTCAAGGATGAAGGTAAGTTTACCAAACTATATTTTACACTCAGATTTGCTTCACAGAGTTATCGTTTGCTTATGTTTTGTTTCATGAATCAGTCACAATCGCTCCGTTGAGACGTTCCTGTCTCTGTGTGACTGTATTTGTGTGCACCGCGTCCGCGCCAAAAGATTATCCTATTGTACACGTTGTACATAATATATAATAATAGGTCGATAGGAATATGGCGAACAACAAAGCACAATAACCAAATTGTCAATGAAATTGTAATTGAAATGTATTTTTCTTAGAGTAGACTCGCTTGGAAATATCGATCCTTACTACTTAGAGAGTAGTATTGATTTACCACGATTACAATTGTGCTTTGTTATTGGTGTGGTTTTGACTTGTAATTAGTGTTCTGTAATTAAAGTGTCAATTTAGGTAATTCACTCGGCAGTTTTTAATTGTCTCGAATCCCAAGCTCGTAACAATTGGTGTCAGAAGTGGGATCAAATCATGTCGATTTTACCTAAAGACCACACGGAGGGTATCCGTAGCCGAAGTAAACGCCAACAAGAGATGGACCAGAGACGTTTTTGTGGTGCAACGTCACAGACGTCGGAGGGCCAGCTGCCGACCACGGAGACCAGCCCGTCAGCAGCTCCTGCATCTGCAGCACCTGACTTAGATGCTCTGATGATGATGCTGCAGGAGCAGGCCCGCTGATAGGAGGAACAGGCCCGCCGACAGGAGAAACAGGCTCTCCAACAAGAGGAACAGGACTGTCAGTGGGAAGAGCCCCTACAGCGCGGTATGGAAGAGCAGATGCTCTTCATTAAGGACCTTCATGCTACCTTCGGGAAAGAGATAAGGAAGGTAAAGGATAGGGTTGATCAACATGACAATGGCCTGTCGGAAGTTGGAACCCGAATCAACCAAGTGAATAATCGGGTGTCAACCCGATTATTCACTTGGTTTATTCACAAATTCACAACGTGATGGCTGATGTGAAGAAAACGCTGGACGACCTTAAACTTGGGGATGGAATTACAGCTCCCGTGGTAGCTACAACACCTTCGCTACGTGGATTCAAAGTGCTCAAAGTTCGAAGGGACTTCTTCCTGGTCGGCCTACAAAGTTCAGTTCGAGGCTGTTATGAAGGCGAACGGCTAGAATAAAAGTCAGGCTGTTACGGCCTACGGCTGCTCCCTTAAAGGGTCAAATCTTCCGGGGCCCATGAGCAGAAGACTTCCCGAGCAGACGTAGGTCGGGCCTCAATGTGGCCACGTGGAATTTCTCTAATTACACTAAAATATATGGGGGAGCGTTCTATACTACGGCCAGTTGACCAGGAGGAGTTAGACGGAGCTTACTTACCTGTATCCAAGGCGCCTGGTCCCTCTGGAGTCGGTCTGGTCGCATGTGTTTGTGTAGTGCAAGGGAAATAAGGTGATGTGATGTGTATCTGAGTGTGACTGATGGTGATTGAACCTAGACCTTGGCCGTCGGCAGCAGCCCGAGCGTCGACACCGCTCCAACTTGAGGGGGCCTTCCGAGGCGTTGTCCACAGTCACTTTCCTCGTTCGTCACGATGACCGTCAATTAACTCTATCGTACGATTAACTAACTTACAGAAGCCACTAACTATCGCTGGGTATAAGGCTAACGCACAAAACGCACACGGAGTTTACGGATCAAAGGTCACTACCGTTTCGCGTAGCAACAGTTAGTTCTAGAATATCAGAGGCCGCACTAGCTAATATTGCCGAATGCACTTATGCAGATTCTGAGTCAGACACAATGTGTCCCTGGGAAGCTCTCCAGTAGGGATGCGCGCCACAAATCCTAGACCGTATTTTTACTGTCCGCGCCTAATTATTCCGAGTTCCCGACAAAATTGACAGCGTGCTACGTCAGCACCGCTTACAGCCGACTCCGCCTTTTCGCTCTCTACCCGCGCGCTCTTGCCACGCTCGGCCGAACTTCAACCGGTATCGCGCCGAGCCGAATGACATCTGGCGTCGATTCTTGACAGCGTTTGGTGCAAACACAGGCCACGACTGCTCTCACCCTAGGCCTGCGTGACCAGGCCTTAGCTGTTATGGAAGCTCTCGGTAAGGAAGTGACTTACGAGCAGTTCCTTGAGGCATTGGAGGCGAGATATGGCGACGCTCACCTGGAACACGTCTTTCGCGCGCAGCTCAAAGATCGCGTGCAACGCAGCAACGAAAACCTGCAGCAGTGGGCCCTTGAGGTGGAGAAGCTGGTTCGAAAAGCATACCAGTCTGTACCTGCGCTCATTGTAGGGAACCTGATGCAGACATTCATCAACGGTATCCGCGAAATTTTTTTTTATAGGATAAGGGTGACAAACGAGCACACAGTCCACCTGATGGTAAGTGGTTGCTGTGGCCCATAGACATCTACATCTATCCTCTATTACAAATCAATATGTAGATGCGTTGTCACCCGTGAGGACTAAGATGGAATGCCTCATTTCCAGTAAAGAGGGCCTCCGGCCACCTGCACTCACCAAGCGAAACGCAGAGGTAAACCTCTACTTCACGCTGGTTTTCTGTGAGGCAAATTTGAAGCCAGAGCTGCTGTAAGGCTCGGGCACCACGAGACGCTTAAGGATGCGTTGGCCCATGCATTGGAGGTGGAAGCCGTGTGACAGGATCATCGTTCCCATCGCGTCAGGGAGGTTGCAGCAGCTACAGTTCGCGACCGCAATAAAGGATACAGCCCTAGGTGTAACGGCTGTGGGGAAAGGGTCCAATAATGCTCGAGACGAGCATTACGCGCTCGCGCGCGAGCGCGAGCATTGCGCGCCACGATTTATACATGATACATGGCGACACTAGTTAACACTAGCGCCCTCTAGTACCGAGTGGCAGAACTAGGAGAGTCAAGAACATTCTAGAAATTTCTATAGTAGAAGGTTCTGGGACTACCTGAGGCCATATATAAGGCCGGTATAGACCGCGACCGATACAGTATTGAATTGACGATACAAGCGAATACTTCGAAGCGATACAACTGCGAACTAAAGTGATATGTAGTACAATTGTGTTTTGTTATTAATATGGTTTTAAGTTGTATTCGGTGTTCTGTAATTAAAGTGTCAGATCACTAATAAAAAACAAAGAGAGTTAAGTTTCAGGAGCGGTGCTGAAGCTTTGTCTCGATGACATATAATAATAATAATTTATTGCTTTAAAATAAGTAGTAAGTTGTTACAACAATGTTGGCTACTCTCTTTTAAGTAAATAGATACCTGTAGTAGAGGGACCCGCTTTTCCGTAGTACAATTATATTACTACATTAAATTAGAATTAAATTAAAAAAGTCTACACAATTGAATACTTGCAGTAAGGTATAATTAATAATATTTGTGTGATTGTGTGCAAGAATATTTGTGTGTTTGTGTGAGTGAATGAGTGAGTGAATGAGTGAGTGAGTGATTAATAAATTAATTTGTATTGTAATTAATTAAATTATTTATTTAAATTAATTAAATTATTGTAATTAACTATTACATTGCAATAATGTATTAAAACTAAATCAGTACAATACTGACTTCCTTAACTAAGTGATTACATTACTACGATGCGAACTATAATGAATCTTATTTTTTTTGCGCCTAGAAGCAAATGAATAGGGCTACCCCGTTAACGCGAGGAGGTGATAAATGCTTTATGCATACCACGACAGCCGGTTATGCGGGACTCACTGTGACTAACCTAACCACCCTAAGTGTACCCGCTAAAACCACCTGTGGGACTGGCATTGGCTTATTCGGCCTCTCTGCCGAATCGGAAGCGACTCTCTTTTGGGAAATGAGGGCGCAGGCGGCTACGAGCCGCTGAGGGAGAGCCTACTAAGGTAAATTTAAGAAGAGTTGGCCTGAAGAGATCCAAGAGAGAGTTTCTCGGCCTGCGGACTCGATAGCGAGAGGGGAGTGGGGCTGTATACTTATGCAGCCCCACTCGTATTAGTGAGTACGCCGTATTCATGAGGCAGCTACTTAGCTGCCTCACGAATGAATTGATTGGAGTGAGACTCTGAGGCTTTGAAGAAGTTCTCAGAGAGTGTTTTAAGAAATTGTTGAATTGTAGGGAGCTCTAAGTCCCGATGGAGGTCGGCGTTACGGACGTACCAGGGTGCGTTCGTAGCTCGACGACAGTAGAGGTTTTGAACTATTTGGAGTACATTAATAATTTTGGGGTCAGCGTGAAATTTG